TCTTTATAGTGTCTTTCATTAGCCGCTGGAACTCATTGATTAGGCTAGGTTGATTGGCCAACAAGACCCAGGGATCTGCCTGTCTCTGCCTCTCCAACCATGAGTTTGCAAGCATGTCTGCCACCATATCTGGATTTTTATATATCTGCCAGGGATTCAACTCAGGTCTTCGTGCCTGCATGGTGAACACTTTACCAACTGCACTATCTCCCTAATTTCTGGTGCATATCTTTCTATATTTAACCTTGATATAGGTACATGTCAGTTCTCATGAGACTGGCTATGAGAGACAAGTCTGCTGCCAGGGAAGGCATGATGCCAGAAAGGGGTCAGGTTTGAATACTTCCTGCAGATCATAATGCACTAAAGTTGTTCTGGTAGCATGGTAATAATCCTTTGTTACAAAGCAGGTGAGTGGGGCCTGGAGAGATGGCTCAGCTGTTAAGAGCACTGGTTATTCTTCCAGATGACACGGGTTCAATTCCCAGTATCCATATGGTAGCTGACAGCTGTCTGTAACTCCAGTTCTAAAAATCTGACACTCTCATACAGACATACATGCAGGTAAAACACTAATGCATGTAAAATAAAAATAAGTAAATTTTAAGAAAAGAAAAGGAAAAAACCTAAAGCAGATGAGTGGTTTGAGCAGCTTATATGAGCTAGATAATTGGCATCATTCTACTCAGCCAGTGGTGGCTGGCATGGGAGTAGAAAGGGGCTGCTGGCAGCTTCCGTTGCTTGCTGGACCATGTTCAGCCTATAGCACTTCAGTTTCATCATTGATCTCGGCTCAGCAGGTTGACCTTTCTGCACCTCAGCACCATAAGCCGGCAGAGCCTGAAACAGACAGTGTAGTTGTATTTTTCCTTCAACATCAGCACCCATCTCAGCCATCAGCATAAGTGATGAGGTAAATACATGCGAGGCTCTCTACTAACTGCTTGTCATGATCTCATTTCATCTTTGTTATGATTTTACAGGAATGTGCATGCTCCATTTTTCAAATGACAACCTGGCTGGATGTATAGGCCAAACCTACCTAACCCTCAAACTCCTTCCCTCAAGTCCGCTGACTCAGCTCCTGGAACTGGGTTTCTGAGTCTTCTCTGGTGCCACCGTCCATTTCTTTGGAATGGACAGAATGATGTCCTGAAATCCAGGCCACTTGGGTTTGCCTTGAGTCCTTCATCAGGGCTTTGTGAGTATGAATCCACTCCTTTTCTCCCAAACTGATGCTGTCTTCCTAGCTCTGAACAAGCCAAACACTCCGTGGTGCTCTCTGAAACACTTGTTACACGCCTGTTATGCGGCCATCCCAATGCCATCCACATCCTCTGAGCTGTGGTTCTAAGGTCCTCAGGTCCGACTGGAGTCAAGGCTAATGTTAGCACAGCTTTTCTAGGGCTCTTTAGTCCCTGATTTATAGTTCTGGGCTTCCTCCCTTTTATCTGCCCTGCACTGAGTGTTCAGCACGATTCCCACCCAAGTTCCCCAAATGTACTTGGAGCCTGTTGGAAAGAATGTAGTGGAACATGGTGATCTCATCCCAGAGTGGAAGGTGACCCAGGGGTCAAGCCAGCAGGGGGTGGGATTGGGGTTGTGCAGGAAAGCACTATAAATACAGCTTTTGTTTTATTCATATGTTCCTTTCCACCCTCTCTTATTTCTCTGCTTGTGGAGAGCTCTTGAGTACAAAGCCACAGGGGAGAGAGGCCTTTTCACCAAGTTGGCCCAATCTTGTTCTGCTTCTGCTCCTCATAGGATTTGGTTGTTTTCCATCTTAATTATGCTCCTTGCATTAGTGGCTGGCGGGCACACAACCTTTGAAGGAGTTTATCTTACAAACCCACTCTCTCCTGAGAAAAGCAATTCAATGGCAGAACTGTGAGACTTCCAGGGATGGTTATGTGTGTGTATACGGATGTGTGGGTGAGCATTGTGTGTATATGCAAAGCATGTGTGTATTTGTGTGTTCATGCATGCATGTATGTTTGGCCTTCTGTGTTTCGTATACATGGGCATATATGAACATGTATATATGTGTATGTACCTGCACATGGGTGTGTGCTTGTATGCCTGTGTGTGTACATGTGCATATATGCCTGTGTATGTGTCTCTCTGTGTGCTTGTTTTATGTACCTGTGTATGCATGTATGTGCATGCCTATGTATAGACAGTAGTGCAGGTGGTGATAGTTGCCTTCTCATTGGACATTTCCACTGGGGAAAACAGAGATTGCACGAATGTACTGGACCTTTTACAGACCCCTGGCCTTAAGTCTCACTAACTAAATGGCGATTTGTGATGCCACTATTAAACCAACTCAGGATAGTGGTGACAAGATGAAGAGGAGCTGGGGCTTGCTAGTGGGTTAAACAGTTGTGGCACCATGAGTGTGGGTGATGGTTGTCTCACTTCACTCCATCCACTGCTTCAATCTGGCAGTGATGCACAAAGCGAGTTCTCCTCTCTCTCTCTCTCTCTCTCTCTCTCTCTCTCTCTCTCTCTCTCTCTCTCTCCTGTCTGATTTCATCCTTCTCTTTGGTGACGTCCACCACTGGTTCAAATTGTCTAGCTCTTACCAAGCTTGTCCACTGACTCTGTGGCCAGGCATAGCACTCTGTCTACACATAGCAGCTGTTTAACCAATGTATTGAATACATGAACACATAGTTCATTCCTGAGTATATCTGCTAAGCTAAGATGCTCCAAGAGCTTGGTATTAAACTTTTCTTGGGCTAAAGTTGTTTTATTTCAAGGGTATTCTAATGAATGTGGCTTTTCAGTCACCTGGCCAGTTACTTGTTTGTCCATACTTGTTTGTCACAAGCACTCACATAACCACACTCAGATCTTCTATGTACTTGGCCAGATGCCCCCAAACAGCCTATCTATAAATGGTGTCACTTTTGTCCTCTAATAATATAAAATTAGTAGCTACTTTTTAGATTATAAACAGTGAGGAAGAGAGTCAGTGAAAAATGAAGAAATTTTAGATCTAGCTTGTAATAAAATTAGTCATCTCAAAGCATAAAAATGTGATGTCTTTAATAAATATCCATGCTGTGGCCTCTTGCTATCTTGTATCCTCCAGAAGGCGAACCAGTTGGGAAAGAGGTCTAACATTTCTGACCCTCTTATGACTAGAGGTCAGGCAGGAAGTGACTCTCCAGTACTACTCTAGCATCAGGAACCCTTAGAGGGGAATAGTGACTCAGTGTCTCTGTAGGATTCTTGTGGGCCCCAACTTTTCAGCAACTTCTAAAGCTCTAAGATGGGACTGAATATGCTGTTCCATGTTTATATAAAAGGAGAGCCTAATGAGGAGAGTGGGGCATGCTAGAGTTCAGCTATGTCCAGAATCAAAAGTCCTGCTTCTCAGCTCAGCTCCAGCTAGCCATGAAAGAGGAGTCTTGGCCTTAGGTCAGTGCTAAGGTGCTTTCATACTCCATTCTTCTCTCCACTTACTTCCTGTTTCTCTCCAACCAGGAAGGTGGAATATTTAAACTTCTGATAAACTCCAAAGAAGTTGACCTTTCAATCAGCACTGCTTTTTCTGGAGTCTTCTCCCACTATACAAATAGTCATGCCAAAGACCTAGAATGACCACTACTACTGTGCCTGGAAAGGCTAGACAAGAGTTTCTTGGACTCCATGATGACGACTGCTCTGACAATTTATCGGTTTGCTCTAGCCAGGTAATTAGAAGGAAGACAACACAGGATGCATTGAACTTCGGTATGACTTTACAGTCTAAGGAATACCCAGCAGGACAGAACTGGAGACAACAGGACTTCTATTGCAGAAGTAATGGCAGGTCCATTAGGGAGATAAGGAGATTGCACCAGTGTGAACTAGAGGATTCTTAGGGTGAATGGGATAACTTCCAAGGCTAGAATAGTGTGTCACTCCAGCAAGAGAGCTGGAGGGAAGAAGGCGTGTGCGCTCATGTCTCATGTCAGGCGAGAAAGTGCGAGAGTGATATAGATTTGGCCTTAAGTCTTTCCTGTTGGGTGATATGTCCCCATATTAGGCCAGAACCTCCTTCCTCCACTTTGTCTTTCCCCAGGGGGTGAGATCTATAGTTAAGCCAGGTTTACTTCCGACATAAGGCACAGGGCCAGTGCTAGCTCCTCACTTCTACTCAAGCGCTACTCTCTTTCTTATCCGTATCACAACTGACTAGTCTCCCACCCTGGGCCAGGTTCAAGCATCCATGGATGTTCATCACTCAGTAGCCACCCCACTTGCATCCTTTCATAGCAAGCTTAGCTGTATCTCCATCTACACCACCTCTATTTGATTCTCTTTGTACTCACCAGTCAGAGACAGTGTCACAGGGAGCTTAGATTAACTGCTGATTATTTCACAGGTCACTCACTCTTATTTCTGAGGTTTGTCTCACTTTTTATATTTTTCAGGTGGAGATCTTGATGGTGACCCAACAGAAGTCCCCGTCATCTTTGTTGATTGATGATTTGGTGTCCCATCCCTTTGCCACCTTACTTATCTATCTCCAAATTTCTATGGACTCTTGTGGTGAGGTTAAGTCTACATTTGCTTGTTTTACATGGTGACATGTCTTGGGCGTTGATTTTCTCAGCTATCTTTTTGTTATTCAGGACAGACTCCAGTGTGTCAAAATACCCACAATGCCTTGGCCCTTCTGAGCAAAGAATTAAGTTTCATCTGTGTGTCATGTTTGTAATTTCTGTTGAATCAGCTTTGTGCCATTAATCTATCTGAACAGTTAGCCAGGTGTTGGCTGCATCCTTCGGGACGAGAAAGGAAAGTCTATGATTACCAAGCCCTAAGGCTGTCTAGAATGGAGACGTGGAAGGACTGGCTACCCCACAAAAAGTGCTAGAAGGAGAGGCAGGCATGTGGCAAAAGTCCACTGTCTCATCTGTACAATAATGACAGTCTACACTACTGTGATATATTGAGAGAGGGGCCTTGGTGGGTGGAGCCAAGGTGCCCCACAGTGGTGGGTGAGAGACAGAGACAGAGACACCATGCAGACAGTGCTCAGTGGAGAGTTTTATTTGGTGGGGAGAAGGGAGGGGAGAAGAAAAGAGAGGGAAAGAGAGAAAGAGAGAGAGACAGAGAGAGACAGAGACAGAGATAGAGATAGAGATAGAGACAGAGGAGAGAGAGAGAGAGAGAGAGAGAGAGAGAGAGAGAGAGAGAGAGAGAAGAAGGGATGGGGAGGTGCTGCCTTGTGGCGAGATGGGGAAGAGAGAGCAAGCAAATGAGGAGTCCTTTCTTAAAAGGAATGGAGCATAGGATGACATCAGGACACTGGGCAGGCCAGGGTATTATCTGCTTATTGACCAGGATTCTAAGAACTGTGTCTGAATGCTAACACACACCAAATGTAAGATGGCAAAGGGGGTCAAGACAGCTCTCAGACTTCTGTAGGAAGCTTTAGCTTGTCTACAATGGTAGTCAGAGGGTCCCAGAAGGAAGAGAGGGCAGGTTTCATTGAGAAAGAAGTAGCCAAACCTCTGTTCACATCACAGTTGCTAAGGTCCACTGGCCAAAGCAAATTGCGTGGCCAAGCCCTGAAGAAAAGGACAGAAAAAGATATCAATGTCTCATTTTTCAATATCTCAGAAATGAGCACAGAGTACTGTTTGCTAATTGGTTACCAGGGGCAAGCTGGGGCTTTCACCAGACACTCATTGCTTTATAGTCTCCTGATTTATCCTTCTCCTGTAAATGATCTAGGCATTGTGTCTGTGATGGCTCTTCTCGGTGGCCCACTTGATTGTCTCTAGAATCACCTGAGAGATGACTTCCCAGTGGGTCTGTGAAAGCATCTTCAGGAAGACTCCTCCAGAGTGACGGAGCCTGACAGCAGCTGAGGCCTAAAGAGTTATGAGGGAAAAGCAGTGGTGCATGTCTGTAGTCGCTTCTTGCTTGTGAGTGCATCGGCCCTTTGCTGCTGTTAGAACCCACTTCCTTGGTCCTCCCAGGCAGCCCAAAGACTAGTGACTCTTCAGGCATCATCCAGACCTTCAGTGCCGCATTACAACTACTGAGGCAACCAGCTTTTGTGGACTGAGCAGCTATTGGGTTCTTAGTTTCTCCAGTTGCAGATGGCCATTGTTGGATGACCGAGGTCCTATCACAAGCCCATGCCATTAGTCTCCTTTCATAATATATGTTCTTTCCATGAAATTTATTCTTTCAGAGAACCCTGGCCAGCACTGTCTTAACTGCTGCTGTGTCGGATGTAGACTTTGCTCTCTGGTGGTTCAGATTTGAGTTACTGAGCTATAACAATATTATATATAAACAGCCACTTGCTGTTCTGGAAACCCACATTGGCATGCAGGCATGCCCAGGGCATAACACAGAGACAGAAGAAAGTACCAACTCAGAAAGGGGGTCATGGAAAGAGGGTTTCCTGGACGAAGAACTGCCTTAGCTGAGTCCCAAAGAACATGATGAGAATGGGGTTTTCTGGGCACAAGAAGGGAGTTAACCATGAAAGGCCAACAGTGATTGGATGTCAAGCTTGAAAGGATGAAGCTGGGTTTTGGTCAACTCTCTTGCTTCAAGCAATGGTTGATTATGAACACTATAGCCATCTGCACTTGTATATACTGTGGTGGCTGGGATCAAGGGAACCTTGTTTGTATGGAGGAGGCTATGAGTAGAGTTAGTCTGTACCTGAATTCTATGTCTGAGGCTTTCCATAGTATGTGCTCTGACCCCCATCAAACTGGGGACTAGAGTCATATGATCAGTGTAAACTGACAGCCTGGGCAGAGCCTTGGGGCCTCTGTATTGGAAATACTCTCCTATTTTTCCCCATACAGACTGTGTCCTTCAGGGACAACTGGGCATGAGGATATCATTCACTACTGCACTCTCTGTGTAGGGGAGGGGAGTGAGGAGAGAAAAAAGAATCTCAAAAAATGTGTATATTTATCCTGGTCTGGCCTTAAGAAAACACAGCCACCGATCCATCAAAAATGAATTTGAGTTTGGATAACATTAGCGTTTAAGGCAATGCTCTTCTCTTGTATTGATTCTCTGTGGGTTGAAATGGAAACAATTTTAGAAATGTAGTCTTAGGTTTCCTTAATCTTCGTGGCTCAGGGAGGAAAAGGCTGTTGTCACTTGTGCTAATAACCACAAGAAACAGGCTACTAAAGTGCTTAGCTGGAAAACGAATTCCAGGAGCTAGCCCTGGTCATGCCTCCAGGGAGAATGCTTCCTAAAAATTCTGCCTTTCTTCTTTCCTTCAGGAGAGTTGCCTTAAAGGGCATAGCCATTTGGGAAGGAGACAATAACTTGTGGAATTAAGGATTCCCAGGACTTGCAGAGTCAGCATGGGGCGCTGGCCCCAGAATGAGGTCAGGTCCTAATCGGCACTGTCGAGAGAGGGAGAGAAGGATTGTTTGTACATTTGATTTTGGAAGCCCAAGGGGCAGCTCTGCTTCCCATCATTCAAAACAGACCTTCTCTTCTTTCTTTCAAATAAAACTTTTGATTGGAATTCTCTAGATTAAGGCATTGATGATATCTTGTCACATGTGCATGAGTTTTGATTATTTTAGCATGAAATATACATCGTTAGTACTGCTCACCTCCCAGGGTTCTGAGATGGAGATAGAGATCAGGGGAGGGAGAAAGGTACATGCATGACAACCTTCAAGGGTTAGAGAGCTCAGAAGGTGTATGGATTTGGTATCTAAATGCCATTAAGCTGGTTATTCCCCTAGGAGCTCTGGTCCTTCTGGAAAAAAAAAAAATCAGTGTTTCTGTAACTTAGGTGGGGCCATCTAAAATCTCAACATTGGAAGTCTTGGATGCCAACTCTTTAACTTGAGGAGGAGAGGGCAATGTCAGAAAGAATTAGCATCTCAACTGGGGTGAGGATAGAAGAGAATGATCTTCTCCCCTCAACTGTCTCTACTTGACCTTTCTGCTCTTGTGGGTATTTGCATAAAAATGGACTCCTTCTGAATAAAATGTGGGTGTAGTTTGCACTGTCACCTGGGGGAACAATCTGTCCTGTGGCCTTTTCTCCGTTTGTCACCTGAGGTTTGTCACATTGCACCCTCATGCTTCTCACCTGCCCACTTATCTTGACCCAGATCTGGGGAACCAGAATGTGGGAGGAAGGTGGAAGGTAAGGATGGACAGTCTCATCTTCTGGGACACTAAGGTAGGTCTGCATCCTTCTTCCCTTTGGAGAGGCTTCTTGCCCTTCCTGGCCACTACAACCCTTGTCTGCAGCCATGTACCTTCTGAGCCACTCCTTTCTTGTTGCTGTGACTAATTTGCCAACAGCAAGATCCTTCATGTCCTTCAGGGGCCTACATTGGTGTGTTCTATGAACACAAGATTCAACCCAGAGGTATGCGTCAGAGATGAGAACCTACAGCTATAATGGCCCCCTGAATTCCTGAATCCCAAGACCAGAGCCCTTGCAAGTCAGCCTTTCCCACCACTTCACTCTGGGATTTTAGAGTGAAAGTTGAATACTCCATTGACATTGGGGAGTTGGGGTTCAGACCAGCATCATCCTGGGCTTCCAAGAGCAGGAATGCGAGAGATCAGGGCTAGATGAGGCTATGATGGAATGAAGTCTTGTGAGGCCTTTCAAAATCCAGGACAAATCTAGCATCTGGCCCTGACTGGTAAGAACTCCTGGTTTCTTCTGTTAATGAGAAACATTCCCTCTTCTTTGTCTGGTTTAAGAACTTCAAAAAAATTGAAGCTTCTGCTCATTTGGGCCAATCCAAGAAAGAATTACTGTTGTTGGTATAATTTCTGTGGAGCTATTTTTAATTAGCTCATAAAATTCAAACAGAGAATATAATATATCCAGCTAATTGCCATCATCCTAATTTGGTCATAGTTTGGGTGCTCATCCCTTTGAAGGTTGGTGACCAACACAGAGATTGTTTTTTTCCCCCTCTGAACTAAGTTCTTAACCATAGATTTGATCCAGTTAGCTGACAGAAGCTAGCAAGACCCCTTGGATGGGTCGTTGTCATGGAAGGCATACAAATATCAACCTGACCAGAGTGGCAGAGGCTCCAAGCACAGTCAGAATCTGTGGCCATATACTTGCTGTTGCCAAGGAAATCTTAGCTCCTCTCTTCACATCTAACACTGTAGCCTTCTGTGGCTTGTCCATCTGTCCTTCTGGCTCAGGGGTTCGGGTGTGTATTGTCATTCTTGGCACATCCTCAAGATCCACTGATGTTTTGTAGAATAAATCAATGCATGCTGCCTAGATTATAATAAAAATATCCCCTTTCTACATGTATATTATAAGTATATTTAAAATGGGAATGCTCTATAAAAATATAAAATGCCCAAGGATCAGGCACACAGTTTTATATGATTAAATGTCCATTGATTTACTGCTTGGTAAGTACAGAGAAATGTCATAGAAAATAGAGTGTATGGCTAGACAGGTCTCCTAATGGGACTTTTGGAAGTCTTTAGGCAACTTATGCAATATTAATAATATTATATATTATTGCATATGATATATTAATAATGATTACATG